GTGGTGTCCATCATCCTGGCCCGAAAGGCTGAGTGAGTTAATACTGGGTGCGTCGTCCATCGTCCTGGCCCGAAGGGCTGAGTGGGCTAATACAGGGTGCGGTGTCCATCGTCCTAGCACAAAGGGCTGAGTAAGCTTTTACAGGGTGCGGTGTCCATCGTCCTGTCCCGAAGGGCTGAGTGAGCTAATACATGGTCCTGTGTCCATCGTCCTGGCCCGCAGGGCTGAGTGGGCTAATACAGGGTGCGGTGTCCATCGTTCTGGCACGAAGGGCTGAGTGAGCTAGTACATTGTGCGGTGTCCATTGTCCTTGCACGAAGGGCTGAGTGAGCTAATACAGGGTGTGGTGTCCATCGTCCTGTCACAAAGGGCTGAGTGAGCTTATACAGGGTGCGGTGTCCATCGTTCTGGCCCGCAGGGCTGAGTGACCTAATACATGGTGCGGTGTCCATCGTCCTGGCACAAAGGGCTGAGTGAGCTAATATATGGTGTGGTGTCCATCCTCTGTCCAGCATCAACTTGTGATGACCTTCAACCATATTGAAGGTCACAGGGGTCAAATGTGTCAAAAACTTCAAATTACTTCTCCTGAATAGAAAAAATTTGGCTAGGATGATCATATTTAGCCAGTAGTCTGCTGAGATGAAAGATTACCAAATTCTTTAAAAAGAGTGACCTTCATTCATATTTAAGGTCACAGGGGTCAAATATGTTAAAATCTTTTAACAGTTTCTTTTGAATGACTTTGAGTCTTATATACCCAGGTACTGATATTTTGCCTATAGCTTTATTTTAATCCACTTTTGAGGTTACAAGTGTGCAGATTAATACAGCCATGTAGGCCCAATAGGCCTCTTGTCCATTCTTGATGAGTTAAGGAGGCTCCACCCTTTCACAGTTTACAAACAAAAATCATTGAAACTTTCACATAATGATTATGCAACAATATGGAGATGATTTTTTGTGGCCTCGTGCGGAACTTTAGAACTAACAAAAAGATAAAATAAAAATAACCCTGTTAATTGACTGATTGATTTTTTTTTTATTTATTATAACATTTAGTAAACACATTTCACACTGTGAAATCATATGGATAGATTTGATTATCTAAAGGCAAATAATAAGAACACATATATATTTCATACAATTGGGTGAAAATTGAAAAAAGGAGACATTGCTTTTTATTTTATTTATTTGCATTTTACAATTACTTTGATCTGGATGTGATTTGTTTCACTTAAAAGAATGTGAACTTTTGCAGAAAAAGAAAATTTCACATATGCAATTGCTTCCCTTGGGATCTAAAAATATTATGAAATTCAATTAGAATGATGATGTTAAAAATTGTCCCATTTCAACAAATTCTATTCATGATGGTATATGATTGGGATCCGAACAACAGGCTATGCCTATATCAGTTCTCTCCTGCATGCATTTGTATGAATCTGCATAAATATATATCTTATAATTTATAGTGAAATGACACAACTTATATACAAAACAGACATCAATGTGCAAGTCATATGGTATAGGGGAGATAACTCAAACTGCTTATGGAAGTTACAAGTCGAGCTGTGCTACATCTATTAGCCATCTTCCTTCACTAGATCCTCCCTGTGAGTTCAAGATCCACACAGAGTGACTTGTAGATAGGTAAATATTAAGTTATATACATTGAATATTATGAATAAGCTATGCCAGTATTGTATGGTATAATAACATTATGTACGTTATACAACTACTCGCTATTAATTACTAAGTACAAACAACAATATACAAGTCCATGTTGATTCATGTCCCATCATCTAAGATGAAACAGAATATAGAAAATACCAATACTGTGCATGTCTCCAATCAAACTTTCCTGATAATCAATATCCAAGTTTATGTTAATTTGTACATATTGTACAATTCCATATAGTGTAATACACACAAGTAAATAAAATGTTGATATTATTACATTACACGATAAAACAACCTATTGTTCTTTATGGAATAAAGTTAATCTCAATCATGTACACAAGAAACACCATTCTACTGTCTACTTGGACAATGACAAAATAAACAACCATATTATTTTTTTCAAGAGTTACATCACCCCAACACATGTCCCTATGTTCTGCCGAACCCCCGGGGAGCAAGATGTCAGAATTGTAGTATAAAACCAGTGTTTGTAGTAAGCTGTCAGGTTTGTTTGAACCTTGTTGACAAGAATTCTACATCATGTCAGTATTTCATTGTAATTTCTCGGGTCACTTCTGTGTGCTAAATTGCCTTTTCGGTCTCATTTCGACTGATGGTGTTTACTTTTCATAACCTCAGTGCGACATTGGACAAACATAGGGCTGCTAACAATTGTGTGACCGTAGTTGGTGCGACGTAATTGTCAATCCAAACTTGACATCATCCCTCATAAACTGGTAGGTTCATTTTCAGAACAATCAGTTTTTCTGATACCAATAAAAAATCTACAAAGTAACGGATAAAGTTCAATTACTGGGATATCGTGAATTTTTAGCCCAGATGGTGGCCATCTTGGAATTTGACAGTGAAGGTTTGTTAACACTCTTTCTCAGGAAGTACAATGTACTGGAAGGATCTTTCTCAAATTTGGTATGTAGGTTCCCCTTGGCATGTAAGTTCCCCTTGGTCCTTAATTGTGTGTAGGTTCCCTTTAGTCCTTAATTGTGCACGATTACTTTTCAAACTGATGAAAGAAACAGGCATCCATCTTGGATTTTGAAAAATTTGTTATCGCTATTTCTTAAAAAGTGCTTGACAGATATTTCTTAAATTTCATATGAGGGTCCATAATTGTGCATGTATTATTTTAGACTGATAGAAAAAATCAGATGGTTGTACTGACGGTCATCTTGGATTTTGACATTTTAAGAATATAATCACTATTTCCCAGGAAGTACTTTACAGTTCTTTCTCATATTGCAATGATCCGTTCTATTTCTTTCACATTAAGTAATTTAGTAACATATTTTCTAAAGAACTTTAGGGTCTAGAGCCATTATACTTTGGTATCTTATATAAACACCAGCAATATGTGTGCCCCCCC